TTTTTTTTTTTTTTTTTTTCCTTTTCTTTCTTTCTTTTTTTAATACTTCTGTTCGCCTTTCCTTCTCTCTTGTTTAGGAACATCAGTTATTCATGTGTTGACTCCCTCCATCCTCTTTTTCATCTATATCATCTCACTAATCACTTTTATCTCTTTATAGCAGTACAGTTTTCAACATTTTGCTTCTCCCCTGGTTTTCATTTCATTTCATGATGATCTTATCCATTTTACTCAGTTTCTTTCCTTATGACTGCTCAGTCTCCACCTCCCCATTGTCTTCTTTTATCTCTTCTTGGATTCCACAGTATCTTTTTTTTTTTTTAAAGTATTATACAGACATTTTTTGTTGCAAATTTTCTTCTGTTTTCTGGAGGCTTTCTTCGAAAGGATACTTTCCATCTTTTTTCATTTGTTTGTGTCCTTTTGATTCTTTCTGTAGTATCTATGCATAGATTTCGTGTGGATCCTTTTTATTACTAATTTTGAATGGAGTAGTTCTCTCAGGGCTTGCTATTTACTAAAGAACAGGGTAGATGGATTCTCATTGACCTCTATTTACGTTGGCGATATAACACTGTGTCTTTAGCACAGTGTTCCTTAGCACCTGAGTTAGAGGATTGGCTATTTCTAATATGTTTCTAATATGTTTAGACTGTAGCTTCTTTAAGAGAGACAATTGGGAAGTTTAATTTGTATATTTCCTATGGTCTTTGTATTAACACACTTTTCAGCTGAGGCCAATGAATTATTTATTCTTAAGGCACGTACAGACCTATGGGGGGGGGTTCCTCCTGGGATTTGAGGTATTTCTCCCTTTTTGTCATAAAAAGGTATGTTATTCTAACCAAAACCTGGGCCCTTGCAGAGTTCTGTGTTGCTAAGCTTTTTGGTTTGGTGGTCAATGCTTTGTTTATCTCTGTCAGTTTACTTTGGTCCATGGTTACACAATTGATTTTCTGAGTTTAAAAAAAATGAAGATTTGTGACAATTATGTAGTTCATTCTTTTTTTTTTTTTAAGATTTTATTCTTAAATAATCTCTACACCCAACATAGGGCTCGAACTCACAACCCCTGAGAGCAAGAGTCACATGCTCTTACCTACTGAGCCAGCCAGGAGCACCTTTAGCCCATTCTTCAATGTGGGAAAGGTCTCTTAATATAGTAGGATGTTCCTTAATTGTCTCATAGCCATCCGCCTCCCCTATTCAGGTGAAAGATTGATGGCAGGCCACTAGATAACTCTTACTTATAAAATAAATTTGTTCCTTAACTAGTATTCACAAACATGGATTAGCTCTGGGCATCCTCCTTCAATGCGGTCTAAATTTTATGTATTTGGCAACTATTCTTTATAGTCTGTTTTAGGAAGTTGTGGCCCTTCCCTGGATTCATAACAGGTGATTTCTTTCTTTCTTTCTT